AATGCCCAGGATCACGAAGATGATCCGGCATGAGCTCGAGGGTCGCGGCAGGTGGCAGTGGCATCCCCCCGTCATGGGGGGCGGCCCCGCAGGTACACACGTCTCGAGGATTCTGTCCCGGGGTCCGGCACCTCCTCACCGCGAGCAGTCCCCCCAGCCCGTGGGGGCGGGCGCGCGGAGCCGCTCAGGGCAACACGAGCGGCCCCGTCGCGCCCACGAGCAGCCCCGCCTGCCGACTTAGCGCGATTCACAGTTGCGAAAACGGCTAGACATCCTTGCTGCGGATCATTCATCCCGTCGGCCTGGTGGTACGCGAGTTTTCCGGGGGTGTCGCGGGGGTGCCCGGCGCGGGCTTTGAGCCGCCGGCCGCGGGCAGATTTCGGCCAACGCGGAAAGTGAGCGGGAAGTCGGGGCCGCATGGGGCGCGTCTGAGTCGCGCCGAGAGGCTCACCAGATCGCCGCTGGGAAACCTCGCTGCGGAATCGCCCTGCTGGAAGCCCTTTCAGGTGGATTCGGCTGGGTGGCTGCCGTTCCCGTAGGATGGATTTGCATCCCTCGTCTTCGGGCGGGTCGGCATTATGCGCCACGCCCTCACGCGCGGGGCTGAAGGCGGTTGAGGAGCTCAGGCATGAGGACCTGGCCCCGCTGCGCCGCCCGGAGGATGCCCTTCGATCGGTGATCGCCCGCCTGCAAGCCGCCAACGCCGCGAAGAAAAAGGAGCTGGACTGGCGCGACCACTACGACGCGCTGAACGAGGCGCGGCGGCTCGTGGCGCATCATGCGGACCTGGTGAAGGGATGCAGCCGGGAGTTCTGCCTGGCGGCCCTGCCGGCGCTGGAGATGCTGCGCAGCTCCACCGTGCGCAACGCGATGGTGCTGTTCCAGGAGATGGTGCCTGCGCTGGGCCGGGCGATGGACAAGGTGGTGGAGGACGTGGCGCCGGTGATGCTGAAGAAGGCAGGGGAGGCAGCCACCGCAGGTAAGGGAGCGTGCGGCTCGGCCGGTTGGGGTGGCTGGGGCGTACATATGATGCACTGTGTGCCACTAACCTCGAAGCCCTACGTTACAAAACACTCTGTTCCAAGACAAGCTGCAAACAAACTGCAGAAACGGCCCAACTTCTGGTCCAAGACGGCGGTGCAGGCTTCAGTTTGTCTAATTCTGTGATCCCCTCCTGGCCGGGGGCCGGCCACCGCAGCAGACAGAATGTGGGGCAATTTTGGGTATGGATGGGAGGTTTGGGGGTGGGTCATGTTCATGCAGTACTTGACACTGGACACTGATCTCAGAGCTGTTGCTCGAGTGAAGAGCTTTCTGCAAGGAGTGCGAACTGTACCATGTCTTTAGCCATTGTCTGCTCTGGGTTCAAATTGCATTCATTTGCTTCTGGCAACGATTTGACCAGGGGCTGAGCCCTAGAGCTGCTTCAAGGCAGTGCTGCAAGCATTGTATGAACTGTGAGCAGTACTTGGATGTATTTGTGATATCTCCTGGGACGAGTAGGTTTGGATTGGGGCAATTGACCTAGGTCCAAGGACTGCAGTGGTGTCCTGCAGTGAACATGTCGAGATGATGCTGCCGCCCCTGAAGACACTGGAAAACTGCACCAATGTTCATTGAAAGATGTTTCTGAAATCCATGCATAGTGATCCTGTCCTTGTTTTTGGACGATTTTCATCGGTTTTGCTCTCACATTTTGCAGCTCATTTATTCATGTGTTGAGACATTTTGCTTTGTTGGTTTGTGGTGCTTTAGTTGTGGCATAGCAATTTGGAAGAGCTTCAAAACAGGCAGGAAGAAGCTGGAAAGAAATCTTGAAGTTTCAGTCATTCTCAGGGCATGTATAAAATGTAGGCAATGGTGCCACTTTCAACATCATGTGCATCACTGGTAATGTCGTCATTCTTCCCAACAATATGCTGTCAACTATCAACACATTCGCACCATTGACAAGCCCAGGATGGCCTGCAAGTGCCAGGGCAGTCCATTGCCACTTGACAGAATGACCATTTAGCAAGATTTGACCCAGGTTTGACTTCGCATTGGCCCCATGTTCCAGGGTCAGGTCGGGACACGTTCCTGGTGGCAGAGGCCGATAAGGCACTATCCATATTGATGAACACTGTCTCCAATTCCAGGGCCATCTCCACCTTGCTCGCCAGTGCCAGCCACAAGTCCATGGGCATACGCTGCAAGGTGGCGGGATGCCTGGAAGAAGTCCTTGACCCCGATATTGGCAGGGGTCAGGGACCCAGCCAGGCAAATCTGGAGCGTGTACTTAAGACAGCGGTGGGTTTCACAGAAGAGGGGGCACAGGACACGCGGTCCTATGGAAAGCGGATAATATGGCATGTGCGGCAGTGGGTGGGCAGCTCTGCCGGTTTTGAGAAGCTTTTGGCCAAGGTGGGCTCCGAAACAAAGCAGCGGAAAGCACGAGAGGTGCTGCAGGCAAGGAGCATGCCTCCCCTACCTCAAAGGGCACATTCTCGTTCCCAGGTAGGTTGCTTTTCTTTCCTGGTTTCCCTCCCATTTGGCCTTTCCTCTGGTCTTTCCTTCTGTGGTTTCCATGCTGTGGATTTATCTTCTGTTGGTGATGATGGCCTTTACTTTTGTCTTGTGGTGTTGTGGTGAATTTCCAGCATGTTTCCCTCATAATGAGGACGGCAGGGGTGGTGGTTGTGTGGGTATGCAAGAGTGCTTTGCAATCGTTGCTGCACTTGCTTGTATCCACTACTTGTGTTGATCAACCTGTATCTACTGCCTTTACAAAGGCTTGCAACGGGACCCCAGGCCTCAGCACACTGAGCAACGACAGCAATGAATGGTTTTCATGCTTTTTACAGAATTGTAGATTGAATCTTATGTCTTGATGCAGATTTGACCAGAATGGGGTAAATCTGCTTTCTTCAGTGTAGTTTGCGAATACAACCATTGTGTCAGTGCAGAAGCTGTTTGTGTACCTCTTCACAACCACTTGTGTGGTTGACAGTGCCTTCCGGCTAATATGGAATCGAAAGAAAGTGGCGCACTGGCAGTGCCGCAGTCTCACTGCGTCGCTGTACATCAGGGCTGTTGATTGTCAGTTGTCACCTCACCCGCAGGGTCACCAGTCCAGCAGCAGCCCTGGCATCACCCCTACCACTCCATCTCTCAGCCCTCCCTCCAGGACGTCCTCCGGAGGCACTGGCGTGGACAGCGTCTGCAGCCCTCCCTCAACCCCAGAGCCCAGGCTGAATGGGAATCTGAGCCCTGTGTCAAGCCCTCCCAGGAGGCAGAATTCAGGCGCGTCAGTATCCAAGGGGAGGCCGCCGTCAGCAGACTCTGTGTCAAGCTACCCAGTGGACTCCACCCCCGTTCAGTCCATCAGGAGAGACACAGGGCCAAGGCGGGAGCCGACGCCTGTGAGGAGGCAGAACTCAAGTGCATCGGAATCGACCCCGAGCTCGCCAGCGGCCGACAGCGTGTCAAGCCACCCCTTGAGCGCAAGCCCTGAGCCTCCCCCCAGAAGGGCAGTGGAGCGCAAGCGTGTGCCACCAAAGCCTGTGAGGAGACAGAACTCAGGTGCATCAGATGTGAGCTCCAGGATGGGCAGTGCCCGTGGCTACGCTTCAAGCGCGAGCTCTGAGCAGGCTTCCAGGAGGGGTGCAGAGCGGAGACGGGCGCCGACACCTATTAGGAGGCAGAACTCGTTTGGTTCAGATCCTGGAACGATGCCCAGGACGCCAAAGAGGGCCAGCAGGCCCGGCTATGCAGGAAGTTTGAGCCCCAAGGGACGCATGCCAGCCCCTGTCAGGAGACAGGGTTCGGCAGGCCAGGTGCCGAAGCCGAGGCCGCCAACTGTGATCCCCCGAGAGCCACAGCGGCAGAGGAGCCGCACACCCCCTGTGCGGCCTGGCAGGTGGCAGCAGGATGAGGGTGCTGCGAATGGGGAGGCTGTTGGGCTGGATGGGGCTTTGGAGCTGATGGTGTCAAAGGACTGGCGGCAGCGGATGACGGGGCTGAGGGCTGTCGCGGCCGCCGTGGAGACTGTGCCTGGGGAATCGGACGCTGTGGTTATCCCGTTGATGGACACGATCACACAGAGGCTGAGCGATGGGAACTCCAAGGTCATCGTGGTGGCTCTGGAGGTGGGTTTTTGGAGACCAATGGTCACCAGCAGTTGCCACCTTGGCTAGTTCGTGCACTTTTAGGATGATTAGCAGCGGCTTGACAGTATCATCTGGAAGTTGGCTTCTGTTGATCCAGTGATACTTTGGCTGTTGATGTCAAATGGCCAATGATGCGGTGATAAATAAATGTTGCCTGGCGTTGCATCACTGAGCTTGTGTCCAGAGCACGGCATTTGCACCCAGCAAATTTCCTGCAGTGCATTCATTGCGTTTTCCTGCAGTGCTCAATTCAAATCCTGACCGAGTGACTTGTTCTTCATTTGCAGTTGGAATGGCAGGGGCGCATGTCCTGCATTTGCTTTGTGTAATGAAATGTCAGTGCTGCAGTCTGCCTGCAATTCCAGAGGTCAGCAGGTTGCTGTCTGTATCCTGTTGCTCTCTGGGGAACATCTGCAACACCCGCCTCTTGGTTAGAGGGCCTTCAGCAAGTCCATTCCTTTTGCATGCGTCTCCTTTGTCAAGTCCATATTTTGAGGATTGCTTCCAGACGTACCTCCAGACGCACCAACACCTATGTTTCAGTATTACCATATTTCACCTGTTTCACCTATGTTTCAGTATTATTATTATTTCAGTATTATCCAACAACAGCTCAATGTCTTGGATGTTTTATGTTTTGAAGTGTGTTTTGGCACCCGCACTGGTTGCAAGTTAGCTCATATGAGAAAGGCAATAGCTCAATGCGAAATTTTCCCCATCGACGCTGGAATACCGGGCTTCATATCTGGATGAACCGAGTTCATGCTGTACTGAGTATTGAGCATGTGTAATTGCTGCACCAATCGGTTGATGGTGCAGTTGTTGTCTGGAAGAAACAGATGTCCAATAAGTTTTGAAACAATTGTTGTATGTCTCCTGACTGGCAGTATTTTGGGCTGCCCCACTGATGAACTCTAACAGTAGCCGCTGTGAAAACAGTATTTGGAGATGTTAGCGGCATATGACATTGACCCACAGCTGGAATGGAATCGATTGTGCACAGTACTTGTGAGTTGTCATGAAAGGCAGATTTGCTGAATGCGGGGCTGGTCGCCTGGCTGAGCAGACACTGAAGACCCTGTTCAGCTGTGCTGCGGATGATGTATCATTCCACATGAACATTCTTGTCCCTGCACTCTCAAACAGCCTGGGGTCCACAAGTGACAAAATCCGAGCTTGCACTGAAGAGGTTATCGATCAGCTCGTGGAAGTGGTGGATCACATTCTGCTCATTCAGGTATTTGTCAATCGATTCAGTGGTTGTGAGATCAACAGCATCCTTTCTGTCTTGAAAGTGCAAATGGATTGTGAAGGAGAACACTTGGGAAAGATATTTGTTGCTGTGTGTATACCTGTTGGGAGGTTTTGCTTTATTCATGGAGTAGCATGCACCGCACTTGACTGTATTGTGGATTGTGATTGATATTGAGTAGGTGCATTTGGTGTAGCTTGGTGACTGCTGGTTGTTAACTGTATTTCATGGATTTCCAATGCCAATCGATTGTCATCGTTGCATTGCTCACCTGGGAATCTCTGAACCCCCTGGGCGTGGAGCCTTATACCCCATCATTGTCCAATGGGCATGAGGAAAGCAAAATGAGCAAGCAGGGAAATGCCAGTGCCTGTCATTCTTCGCGACGTGCAAGGTGTGCTGTCTGTACGCTTGCAAATGCTTTCCGTGGAGATTTCATGAGGTACCAAAGCTGGGCAGCACAATTCCAGGCAGGTATGAGATTCTGATCTGATCAAGTTGCACATTGAATGCATCAGAACTTCAGCCACTGTGCGGCAAATGGCCACCCCAAGGGAAGGGTTCTGCTGTTGGACAAGCTGCAGGGCATTGTGACCAACGTCTACCCTCGAAAGCCACAACTAGTAATCAAGCACACCCTTCCCGTGGCGTTCAAGTTGATGGCGGAGAGCAAGGCCGACGTGAGGGCGGCCAACCTGAAGCTCCTCGTGGCGCTTGCAGAGTTGATGGGGGACCAGCTGTTTGCCTACGCGGGCGGCATGTCGCTTCCCAGCAAGATGCGATTGAAGGAGATGATAAAGAGCCATGGCGTTGACCTGGAATCTGGCTCCCAAGACCTTGGCACCGCTCACTGACGGGCCAGCTGGCGTTCGACATTCTGACTTCACTTGTTCTTTGGCAGTGCTGGTTGTGGACTTGTTTTGCCGACTTCATCTTCGATCGAATATTTGACAAGGCTGCAGATGTGGTGAAAATTTTTGCGCACGGAGTCTTTGTCTTGGGTGGAAGAGGCACAGCGCCCCTAGCAACAAAATAAGCGCGGATTTGTTGTCGACGTGTTGCTGCACATAGTGCACTCATTAGCAGTTAGGGCAGTTTTGGTGGTCGCGAGCGAGGCGCGCAAGGGAAGGGGATGGATGGAACACCTGCCCAAACTGACTTCGCGTTTATGCCCCTATCGGTGGGGCGGGGTAATTTTGAGGCGGGCTCCCTAGTCTGCTCATTCTCTAGAGGCCGATGGTGGCGCAGGGAAGCTGAAACAGATGGATCGGCTGTGCCCTGTGTCCACGCGGGCAGCGCCTCTGTTTGAGGGCTGCCACGATGGCAGGGCCCCACGGTTAAGATGTTAACCGTTGCAAGTATGGTATGTTAAATGTCTGCTTTGTTCGTCACACTGACCGCACTCTGCTTGTCTACCTTCATTGGGTTGCAAAAGGATTGGAGGTGCAGACAGTGAACTTGTGAATGAGTATCAGAGCCGTAGGACGGAGTCTCCGAAAGACAAAGCAGGGCCGTTGCACCTTGGAGGCAATGACGGGCGTGTTTACACATCGAGACGTTTTGCTGTCCCTGACCCTTTCAGCTCATCCACTCCCCACCCATCTATGCGCACTTTCAGCTTCTACCCTCCTCGCCCAAACAGGCTTTCTTTCTCGAATGATTGCTGCTCATATTGCCGGTGCAAACAATCAGTCGCATTTGATGGCCCCACTCCTGGTGTGTAGCACGCAACGCCAGTCATATTTAACAGTTGTTCGAATTACCAGTAATTGACCACTGATCTGCCTCCGTCAGTTACTGATCTGTAATCCGATGATTAAATGGTGGCATATGAGAATCCCGTTTCGAGGAATGCCATCAGCAATATCTTTGGATGGCTGTCATTTTTCTCGATGTTTCACATGCAACTTTCCAGTTCCCATAACTGGAGGTCAGTGGCTGAACACTGATGTGCAGTGAAACTCAATGAGAGCAGTGAATACATATCAAAAAGCCAAGCTAAAGAGATGAAAGTCTGACACACCATGACAGGCGCAGCTGCCATGTTATGCAAGCACCTGTTCATGTGCTGGTTGACTGGTGCACACATTGACCTGATTGAGATGGCAGGAGGACGGCCGGCCAACAATTAGCTTCAATCTTACTAATTTTCGGGATCATGAGTTGGCACTGTGGGGCGGAGCTGTGGGTTGGTGCCGTGGGTCGATGCCAGGGGTCGGTGCTGTGGGGTAGCGTGTTGTGCGTGTACGAAGTGTGAGTTCAATCCAGCGCTCTGAGTGTGAGTGTTGGTGGGCAAAAAAAGAGGCGCATTCTGGTATTTAAAGAGAGCCCGAGACTGTTCGTGGCTTCTCTTGGTTTGGTTGTAAGACAAGTTGAGTCTTGGCTGCTTGTCCGACCATGCACGGCGAGTGCGTTTGAGCACCGCGTGCACCAAGGTTGCCACAGAGGTCGAACCAAAACGGTTTGACTTGTGCTGCGTTGTGGCCCATCGCTGCGCGTGCATTCGATTGCGACGAGCGGGACCTCGAACCGGGATGGCTAAGGAACTTTATCACAGTTTTATGTGTAATTCAGAAACTCCACCTCCAGCATAGTTCCAGAATCAATCGGCGTTGAGCATCCAACACTTAGTATATGCATTACCCCTTTTTATTGAATTCCAATGTATTACAATACAACCCGAACAAAGGGACTTGTAATCGCCCTTGCCCAAATCACAGCACGCCTTCATTTCCTGGCGGCCCTCAAGCGTGTGTGACATTGAGATGCCATATTCACCTATGATGATGAAAATTAAACGATTTATAATTATCTTAAATGAATTTATTAGGTTAATGACTTAAATGATCATCATTTGATATGTCATATCAAAATTCACCAGAATGACACAAGCAATCTCATGAACATATTTGCACCGTCTAATTATATCACCTGAGCCATCTAGATCACCAAAATGCCATGTCAAGTCAACTGAAACATTCAATTGCATCTTTGAGCCGTCGTGCACATCTTAAGTTTTGATTGGCACTGGGATCCACGTGACCGCTCTATTTTTGCGAACGACGGTCAATGGTGTTTATCATTTATTGGCAGCCCGAAAATTCTGCTGAATCATGATATGTCGCATCACCTCACTGCATGGTTTGTGCTGATGTGCATGAAAGATATTGGCTGACCGAGCGTTGTGTGGTGTCGACCATCGTGCTTTTTGAGAATTCGTAAAGACTGGAAAAATCACGTGCTGCAAGATAACGATCGTCACGTTGACTTTCTCGCCACCTGTCACCTCATTCAATCAGGAAACATTGGGTACCAACATTCGAGGAAATGTTACATGTCCTGTTCTCATTTCACAAGCATTGCAAGGCTTTTGTTTTTCAATTCACTGGCGCCAAATTTCCGAATTCCCTCGGACTCAAATGGAACAGCAATTGCACATGTCTCCCATCATCCCGTGATAGGCGGTGGTGAAGGACGCCACGGTCGAGCGATGGCAACAAGCAATGGATTACACTGCAACAAAAAATACAAGGGTGTCATCCACCACAAAAAGAAGCAAAAGCAAGTTCATCCATTGATGTCATTTCCTCCAATTTATGCCACACCAAGTTGGTGCGGTTTGAGCGAGCGCATTCCCAACACACCACACGGGAGTCATCCCATAGAATCATCACACGTACATAGTACATTGTTCGATGAAGCCACATAATGAGCACCGTTTCACTGGGTGACTCACTTATAGATTTGGCTCACCATCGCTGTCGACTGTATGTGTGATACACACTAGAGGTGGCCACCCGGATCCGTTAATAGCGGACAGAGGTTAATTCCGTTAATTAATCCGTTAATTAACGGAAAATAACGGAAAAAGACAAAAATTAACCAAAAATTAACGGATTTTTGGATTTTTTTGGGATTTTTGGGGTTTTTTCATACTTATAGCTTATGGAATTCGCTATTAGAGAGTATGTTTATATTTTATTTCAACCTATGCATACTAGATTTTCAACTAGCCGCAGTTGTTGTGATTTTTTGGGTTTTTTTTCGATTTTTTTGGATTTTTTTCGTTTTTTTTGAATTTTTCTCCCTTTTTCTGTAACGGAATTTAACGAACAGCTTATAAAAATTAACGAACCGGATTTAACGGAGCGGATGGCATCTTGAGTGGCCACCTCTAATACACACTGCATGGGAATAGTCCGAGTATGCCACCATTGCTCATGAAAAAAGAAGCAAAAAGCGAGAACGCTCCAGAAAAACCGTTAGGCCTAACGAGGCCCTAGGGCTGCAATGCCCTGGGAGTGAGTTTCACCGGGAAAGTGACGGAGGCAAGGGCTGACTAGAGGAAGCCGCTTTGTGCACTCAACGGATTCATGCCCCTGATCAGCTCACCAGACTGCTCAGATCAAAGACTAGTTGCAACTCCCCACTTGGGGAGGTCCTGAGCCGAAAGGGCTCAAGTTGTGCAGCCCAGCTGGGAGCTGTACAGCTCCCACATATGTGTGGGCGAGTCAGGCTCACTGGACCTGCCAGTGATGCCCTGGTCCCTCGGGGCCGTTCAGACCACCCAAACTGACGAAGGAGGGCACATGGCCTGTTGACTTGCATTAAAAAATGGGGTTTCCATGTGACCGCAATTTTACATTCAGACAAAATGCGACCTGAAATGCACTTCCGGCACATCCGGGTTCATGCAAATGTAACGGTTGCAACTGCCTGGTGCGTGCCGCGGTGGGTATGTGCAACACTTATTGAATCCTCGCGACATCATCCTGCCACTCCCACAGGATGCACATGCATGCGCGGAAGCTAAAAGGCTATAAAACGTCCTGACATACACGTTGTACTCATGGCTGTGGGAGTCATGACAGCTGTTCTGAGGGACCTAGCACCCAATCGACCTGTGCAGCACGTGAAAAACGTTTTACCATCAATTGCCATGAAACCCTGTGTGGGTCGTGACCTCAGGACACCACAGTTGGCTTGATGTGGCTTAACATGCATGTCACACATGCATGCCTGTTGAGATGGAATAATGCAGGACTGAAAACACAAGAAAAAAAGGATGTCGCTGGAGGGTGGGAAGGATATGGGCTGGGAGTGTTGGTCTAATTTTAGGTCGGCATGCCGGGGACGCATGCAGACAGAGGACTCCCGTGGTACTTTCAGGTAGGAGTGTTTTGGAAACCTGTCCACTCTAAGCGTTGAATCAGAAAACGCTATAAATGTTATTTGAAAAGGCATGGGGAAGTATGGCAGCAATGTCACAAGACTTCTTTAAGCATGTCACCATGCCCTAAGAAGAATGAGCATTGCTAGAAACTGTTAAACCCATTTTGGAACACATTTTTCGCAGCTGCAACAGTGCACCGTAGGTCCCCACTTCATCTACTTTTGTATTGTATTCTATACTTTCTGTATGGGCAGGAAGAAGAATAGACTACGTTGGGGCAGGTGTTGAGTGAGAGCGCCGGGAAGTGCCTTTTCATGCAGTACTTTGTAACTGCAATCACTGAATCGCTGCATGCGGTCGACCAAAGCGTGTTACTGCTTCATCAACGTAAAATGGGCGCCTCACGTGAACAACATGGTGTATGGTACAGTGGCTTTTTGTTGATTCCAAAAAAGTACCGTAGGTCATGGATGTTAGTGCGGGGCGGTGTTGAATAGCGTGGGTGCCCTTAGATAACGCACCCTGCATAATGGCAAATGGCTAACGCTGCACAGTGCGGGGGGCATGTGAGATATCACGTGGGGTATGCTGCTCCCATGATGGAACATCCTCGTTCATTATCAAAAGATGCAACGACGCAGCGGGCGAATTTGCAAAAATGCTACTGTGACGTCCTTCCTCTTTTGCTGTGATAGGAGTCCTCTTCAGACTGGTATTCAGTGTGTTAAATTGGTCTGGTTGTCAATATGGCAAGCGGGGGTGGGGGGTAGCGATCCATCGAAATGATGCGGAATGCGGGGGGTAGGGGCCGCGCAACATAGTGCCCCCCGCGTTCTTCGACACCAGCCCTAATGCTCAACGCGGCGGGGGCCGCTATCCTCCGTGATCTACTGTAAGTTAATGTTACGCGCACAGCACATTGGTGCACACGTGTATCGTACATTGTCAGTACATCGGTGTTACGCACTGTTACGGCTAGAACTGATTGAGTATTACTATTAACTGAGTGCACGAAAAGATGATGAGGCATTAGGAATTGCGTTAAGGATGTTGATGAACGGACGGAGTATAAAGGACAGAACGCTTGTTGTCCTTTTGCCTCGGCTGTAAACCGTTGCCGCGGACTCGAGCGTACAATTCCCGTTCAGGGATTGCCACCCCTCGATCCTGCCTACCTTCGTCAGCACTCAATCACGAATGACCTTGGGCTCGCCACAGGTATACTCCCGCACCCCGTTTCGCGCCAACCTTTCCGGGATGGCGCTCTCGCCCAGGCACCGCTTCCACAACGCGGTTGTGGAGCAGGACATTCGGGACGCCAGGTCCTGCCTGCTGGGCAGCCCGTCCCAACCCATTGCCTGGGGCCCGGAGTGGCCCGGATGGACGCAGCTCTCGGCGCGGCTGGGCCTGCGCGGATCGCGCGAGGCGGCCAGGGCGTGGGAGCTGCTCCGGCGGGAGCAGCGTCCCGCCGGCAATGGGCCGCCCGCGGAGGACAGGAGGGAGCTGGACGGGATCTTGGCGGGGGGGGAGGCGAGGGACGGGGTTGTGGGCGGGGATGAGGCGGGGGCCCGGGGGGGGCGGGAGAATGGGGAGCGGCGGGAGGAGGGCGAGCGTGGGGAGGAGGGGGAGGATCGCCGCGACGGGGAGCAGGTGTGTTGTTGGGGCTGAGATTGTTTGATTTTATGTCCTTTGATTGGTTGAAACTGCCTCGACCTTTGCTGCATAGGCTTTGAAAGGTGGGCTTGGGGGGCTGCGCGATCCCTTGATTGGAATTGCTGTCGACGGGCAAGGCGACGCCCTCTGCCGGTTTGTCTTTCGAAGGTGGTTTTTGAGGCGACGCGCACCGGAGGGCCAGGGGCCGTTGCGATGAAAGCGGAATGCTTGTGATGCGGCGATCATTCTCCTGTTGAGCGAAAATTTGCAGTTGGGGGCGCTAGAGGGTGGCATCCGTGAGTTCATAAGGCCCTTGAGCTTTCCGCCCCAGACCCCACAACCGGATTTCGGCTGGAACCCTCTCTTTGGTAAAGCCATGAAGCTTTTGGTCCCATCCACAGCTTACTTGATGTTGTCAACTTGATTTTATGCTCAATTCATGTCCCATCGGTAAGACAATGCACCTACTTACGTGCGATAGGGGACAATAGCGATAATGTAGAAGAGTCAAGGCAAACGTTTCAGCTGCACTCCCCCAATTATTGATAGGAGGTTTGTAGTGCTGATGGAATGGATCAATTGTTGCGTGTCCATTCTACTATGCAACATTGCATTATACAGCTTTGAGTTCACTGCATCTTGCACGGCCATCACACAATGCTGACCAGGGCATCTTCAGCAAGCGCTTCCCTTCATTTCTATTTTTGTAATCAGGCACTGAGAAAATTGACAAGTGACAATGGGTAGAGCAGAGCAGAGCTCGGCCTGCAAACCGTTTCCCCAATTGCAGTGATTAACTATCACACTGTGCGAAGCACAAGCAATGCAACGTCAACCTGGACAGCACCACCAGCCGCAGCTCGGCAAACAAGTCTGCTTTGTTTGCGTTTGCGAATTGGAAGATGACTGGGGCCTCTTGCTTGTTGCTTTGCAACAAGCAACGTGTTGTACAACTCGTCGATCACATTTAGTCCCATGGACAAACTTTTTGGCAAGTCACTGGCGATTGGGCCTTTCAACACCGTGTGTATTCCCAGAATGCATTTGACATCTAGAATTGCCTGCCTGCACTGTGTGCCAAAAACCAACCAGGCTGTTGCAAAGTCACGTATACTCCAGTAGGAGGTAAAATTGAAAGGTCAGTGAAGTTTGCATTAGTTGATGTCACCGCAGGGACATCCCCCTTTTGCAGTGGGCACACTGGTCTTGGTCAGTTTGTTTGCTGGTGTTTGCACACTGTGCGGGGTGCTGGAAGGGGGCACGTTCTGGTAGGAAATGCACAGTAGACAAGACATGTTCACAATGTCAAGCCCAACCTCGCCATCCAAATGTAAGGGTAGTGATGCGTCCTCACTATTGATAAATGAATTCAAATGATTACAACTGAGCTGCAGCTGACGTGGTAGCAGCAGGGCAGTTAGGGTATTGTGTTTTGAACTTGGGTGCAGAACACCTGTGGGTTTAAATTTGAGGACTTGAGTTTAGCCTTGCAGGATGAAGCCAACCATCAGCGCACCTGCAGTCAGCTGTGTGGAGAGGCAGGCCTCATAGCCTCCCAAGAGATAGGGTCACAGGAAGGGATCCTTCCTGCCAGCCAACCAAAGGTTCTGGCCCTGCTGCAGAAGGATTTCGTTGGGCGTGGACGCAGAAAGGTGGGATGTTACCGCCAGTCATGCTTGCTGATCAACTGCTCCTCTTTCTTTCCCAGCATTCCTAGCCTGTTGTTGAAAATCCATGTCTACTAAACAGCAACGGCTGTGACACAGAAAAACAGTACGTTGCTTGTTGGAGAATGTGTTGGAGAAGTATGTATTGGTTTGTGAAGTTGAAAAAGGAAACAGCGAAAGGGAAATTGTCAGAATTTGACTCACAGTCCCCTAAAAGGTTCATGTTTGGAGTTCATTTTTTGGTAAGTCCGTGGGCTGCCTGTTGCCTGCACCTGAGAAACTCATTGTATGGACAGGACAGACGTGTACTGTAGTGGTCTGTTATGGCAAAGAATCACAAACTCTGCCTGTTGAGAGGAAAAGATGTGCAGTCGAACACCAAGAATGCCAATACGTCTTTGGCAGATGATTGTACATGTCAAGAACGTCCACAGTTTGGTATCTCAATCCCCAAAGTGGGGCTTCAATGTCCAACTGCCTTAAAGGCAGAAACTTACCGATCGCTGTGTGATTGGGACAGCTTGGGCAGGTGGGTTGAGAGCCATGCATGGGCAATCTGGGACAATAATATCAATGCGCTAGTCAAATTCTCAGCTACCTGTGCTGCTGAAGTACTGCACCAGCAGGACATTTGGCAGCAAGGGTGTGAAGTGATGCGCAAAAGTTTGCCTACGTCATCGCAGTGAATAGGTGAATATCTCTCATCAATGGACGATTGCTTTAAACTTCACACGTTCCTTTTTGCTAACACAACAGGTACGTCACCTTTTTTGGTTGACTTTTTGGATCTATCCATGCACATAGGTATGAGAGCTAATCACACATATTGCTGTACTTGTGTAATGCGTATGGCGCCTGCAGCTTCGTGCAATGTGCCACTGCAGTGGACGACCCTCAGCCATCTGGTTAAAGAGATTCATTAAGCCAGTGTCTGTTCATTGATGGCAAATGTAATGGGTAATTCTAGCTTCCACAACTGCTATGTGAACCAAAATTACTGGGTGTTTCCAGGAAGCATCCTATCTTGTTCGTTTTGAGGGATATCCGCCCTCACAAGATAATTGGTTCAAGGAGGCGGAGCTGAGGAGAGCGAATTATGGGCAGATGGTTGATGACTACGAGGTGGGATTGTGAGCCTTGCCCAATGAATGGGAGAACCTTGCTTGCACAATATGATACTGTCACGAAGTCTTGCAATGGATAGTCTCTCTGTGGATTCAAGCCATGTTCACTGCAAACAGCTCCTGTTCAGCTAGGTTGTTAATTCAGCAGTTGTTCTGGTGTTTTGCCGTTGCTTGTCTTGGATAGTGGGGTTTTGGTGCTGACAGAAGTTGAGAGACTGGCACTTGATATAGCTTTGTTCCATGTGGAATGTCAATGCACCACAGCCTGTGTTTGTGACAAGTGCTGGTAGTGCATTGATGCCACGGGGCAACAGGGCATTGTTCTGTCACACATGGACACATTGAATCAAATAAGACACGCAATGCTGTAGGCAGCGCATCGTGAGGAGCGTCGCAATGGCTCTACTCTGCGGGAGACGTCTCAAGATGTCCAGGACATGGGCACAGGCACAGAGGGAACTGCTGCTGAGCATGAGCAGGATGCAGCAGGTGGTGATTATTTGGTCAATGTGCTCCTGATGACAGGAATCCACCCTTAGTCGATCTGTTTATATGAGGGTCTGAACAATGATTTGGTGTCTCAGGCTTACTCGCTGCCTGGGGACCTGTGCACTGTGTGTGCCCTTGTGACACGGAGTCTGAAGTGTCCTTCAGGCTGAGCATTTAGAGACCTCCTTGCAATCCACCCAGGAACGCCCATGCTTTCCGATGATCTGAACTTGTAGAGATGTGTGCCATTGCTGGTGTATCACTTGTCACATTGCCACAATGGATACATTTCTTCATTCACAGTGTCCACATGTGGTTGTGACAAGACTTGTGTTAGTGGCCTTCGCTGTACACGGTGTCGGGGCCACAAACTGAGGCACTCTATGTTTTGTTTGTCCAGTGTGTTTGGTCCGGCAGTTTGATCACTTTTGACAAGTGAAGATGCGAGTCTATGCTGATTATGTATTTTCAACGGACATTTTTGAGCAGTACTAGAAATGATGATAACAGTGACAAGAGTAACAATGGCAATAATGATGGCAACAGTGATAGAAATTGTAATACTACAGTAGTAGCAATACTAACAGTAATAGTTGGAATATTAGTGACAGTAACAATGACAATAATAATAGTAGTGGTGGTAATACAATAATGTATAATGAATATTGCTCTCAACTGCCTTTGGCAGAGTAGATGCGACACCACGACTGTTGTTGTCTTGACTAAGGGATGCGCTGAGACCCCTCCTCTGAAAGCTGTCTGGTTCCTTTTCCCATTCTAGGCCGATGAGTTGGGTGTGTGCAAGTGCATGTGGAAACGCGGGCAAGAAAGGTAGCAAGGAATGGCATATACAGGTAGATTTAATTCCTTTCGGGAACAGCTGGTGCAAACACCACAAGTACTACAGGCCCATACTCATCTTTCCTGAAAGCTTTTTCCTCTAGTTATACAGCCACTTTACAAGCAATTACTAATTTCGAAGTTTTAAGGAAGGAACCATGGAAAATGACTTTTGCACTTTAAATGCAGGTGATGGCCAAGTTGAAGGTGTCACCACTGGCACCCCAATGTCTAGAGCACCAAATAGACGCAGCAGAGTGGCGGAGGATGCCGCTGGAACGCCCTCTGTCAAACGCCAGAGAACAGGTCACAGCAGCAGAGCGGAGCAGGGTGGAGATGTGTCTGCAAGTGAGCAAACTCTATCGATCGCTGAGCAAGCAGCAAGGGTGTTGCCCTTCATCGAGCGAATGGCTCCTGTGGGATTGCCTCTTGAGGTGGGTTCATACCTGCCCTGCAGGTGCTCTAACAGTGCCTTGCCATATGTGGGAAGTTGCCATTGAGGGGACTGCCTCTTTTGCCAGATGGAGCAGTGTGGATACTGCTCTTGCCTCATGCAGCACAGGGTGGGTGGGCCATAGGGGTTGTTGAATGAATGAACACGTGCATTATGGGAGCATGAAAAACAACGCACTGATGATGAAACCTGTCTCTGAGTTCAGATCATCGGGCAGCGTGGGCTTTCCTCCTGGTCTATGTCCATGTCCTCACAATGCTTGACGAAAGAAACACTGGAGCCCTGTTACCCTTAGTGGAACAGTGTTTTTTTTACTGTTTTTCTTCATGAGCTTGCATGTGGTATCAGCACTGCACAGTGTGGCATCTCTGTCGCATTCTAGTGGATCTCCAAACAGGTCCACAAGTTTGAAGTGCTGTCCATCCAACGTGGGGTTTCTGGTGGCTGTTGGATTTTGGCACAGGTGCTCATTCTTATGGCAAGCTCTTTCAAGAAGATGTGTGGGACAAATGTAAGCACTGGCTTGGCACCTGTGTAGGTGTCGTATTGGGAGCATTTGCGGCACCCTTGCAGTGTCATTCGCATCTTCCATACCCTTTCCTAATATCCAAAATCCCACCACCACCCAATAGGTCAAATTTACAGGTAAGATCAGCACAGATTTCCCACTGTCAAAACAGACTGCAAACCATGTGTGCATTTTGATTGGTGTGTTCAGCAGCAAGCGGGCCCTTCCACACCCGGAGCTGTCGCTGGCATGCAGCGAAGTCCTCCCCTTGCAGCTCGTGCTGCGCCAGGGCATAATGTGGCTGGCAGCCCTGCAAGTACCACCCCCAGCAATGTTCCTATTAGTCTGAGGCGATCCGATATTGTTGAGGATGACCGCGGACCGGGGTCTTCCTGCCCAGGCATCCCTCTGGCAGGTCCTCAGGGCTTGTTGAGCGAAGAGGGATGGAAGGGGGCCAAGATCATCAAGGTGCGAAAGGACGCAGACAGCAGTGAGTTGGTTGCTTGGATCGCATGCAGGGACGCAACGGAGATGAAGGTGCCTGTGTCCTTCTTGCACAGATCGTGGCACACCAGTGTGGCCCTGAATGAGTTTTTTGAGAAATTGGCTATGAAATGCAAGGGGCGCTCGGGTTAGTAGTTGCACACATCGGAAAGCAATGACAGAGCATTGCCTCTGCATTATTCCGGCGATGATGGGTGGTTCCTAAGACACGCTCTTTGTAAGCATAGTGTGGAACGCTGCTGTTGTAGTGTTCTGACTCCTTGGATGGGTGTGTTTGAACTGCATTTTAAAAGGGCAAGATGACTGCCACACTTTGTTTGATTCTTGTATGTGACAGTACATTTTGGAAAGAAAGTCCGTTGGTCAGGGTTCATAGGGTGCGAAGCAGCCCTCTAGTGGTGACTGTGTCAAGCAAATCTTCCCAGCTGTGTGGAATGATCCGATATGTTTAGTAACACTGACTTGGAACACTGCACTCAATACCAGTCTGAAATTTTCTGACTCGTATCAAGCTTTAAACGTTTGAAATGGATAGCCGCCAAGAGCTTTGGAAAGCAAAATGAGTACAGTGCATGAGTAAAGAATGATGGGATATGTTTGTGCGAGGGAGACCTACATAGAATGAGATGGGCGGTAAGATGAATGCGCCGTATGGAGTGCACACACTAGGTATAAAGCCACAATGCTGGGGTTGATGGGAAGAGAGATGCACACCAAACCGAAATCACCACTGTCAAGCACAGAGATTGATTGATGGACGGAAGTAAGCTTGCTTAGTTGTGGTCGACCCCCACTCCTTGACAGGTAAGCAGCTCAACACCAAACGTGCCGCGACTTGTGCAAGGTCACCAACGGTCGTCGACGCTTATCGCAGCGGCCTCACATGTATACAGTATATTGGCACACATTTCAGAGTCTCTGTGCACAGTCCTGAATTGATCGACCTGTGCTCCAGACTGGAACATCCACACGTTCCACACTGGAACTTCCAGTGTCCTCGCCGTCGGCCAGATTACCACCAAAGCACTGATGTGATCAGAATAACCTTCGTCAAAAGGTCTCATATCATGGATATCGAATAGGATATGGGCCTTATATCCTGGAGATACATACTTGTAGTATCTAGGATATGGCCGCGTATCAGCATATGAAACCTCCAATTCCTGGACATGGCGAGGATATGGGTAAAGATGTGACAATCTCCTTGATCTGATGCATATCGAAGGTGCATATCGTATGTACATCCAGGATGTGCAGCTTTTGCAAAGATTAGTACTCAGAACGCAGTGACACTAACATTCAGACATGAGATTCGTATGACAAGCTCACAACGACACACAAGAGATTGTCGCACCATGCTCACAAAAATGGGTAGATGAACAAGCATGATGCTCAAAGATGAAAGGGAAGCTTCACCGCAGCTTCCTTGAATGCTTCCCACTGCCATTGAATACAAATTGTTTCCTTTCAATACTTGGGGTAGCAGGTAGTACGCCACGCACTCACACACTGCACCGGCAGCGTGTCCGAAGTACTCCCCGCACCCGCTTGGCTGTATTCCAGTACTTAAGGGGGCGTTGTATTCACCGCCTTACCCACAGTAGTACATTGTGGCGGCCATATGGTGCCGGTCACCCGCCCTCCTTGGCGATTCCCACAGCCTGCACCTCATGTGAGGCAGTGGCGGTCACGTGGGGCGCCGGTACGATCGGTCATACACATCAGGGTACGCCTACCCCGACCGACCCGCCTTCGCAACGGTTACGTGACTCTCCACCCAGACCTCGTACATGTCACACTGACAATCAACTTCCAATCATGAACCCCGCTGACACGCATCGCTTCCCGTGATGGAACAAATCTGCACGCGTGTACTCTACCCGCGACCGACATGCGAGTTGTCACCTTGGTCCCGCGGCACCCCATCATGATTGGCACCCACCTGCATGAGTCTCATGCACGCCATGGCCAGATTCACCACAGCGCCGTGCCATGACTCATGGCGCATCGCCCCAAACGAATCCAGGGGCGCCAACTCACACAGCAGCCCGAGACCTTCCCCGGCACAGTTATCAGTCATTGCCGTGCCTGCCTCAGTCACCTGGTGTGGCACCGAATCCGATCGGTGGTCGATCCCATCAGCATCAGCGATGCGGGCGTCCAGATGTCAAGATCCGCCATGGGAGAGGGCCAGTGGCAACCTCTCAGCACACCAGACCGACCAGCAGACACTCAGATAGTACAAAGGCAAAATCGCAATGGCTTACAACTGCCAGGACTTGCCAATGGGGGTTTGGTCTGCCCCCTGGCATGGGCAACCCCTTTAAATAGCCTGCAGGGGCAACAACATGCCTTCCCGCTCTTAGAACCGTTCCAATGGAAGTGTTCAGAAACTCTCTCCGAAACTGTCCCAAAACTCCCCCCAGAACTACCCAAAGAGCCACCGCCTCAAAGCGAATCTCACCCAGTCTTTTGACCACCCATGCACACTTTCGCAGCCCGGATTTAGACAGCACAAGCCGTGCCCCAAATCAGTCCATTTGGACTGCGATCTCTCGCGTTTCAGGGCACCAAACTAGGCTGCAAAATAGGACAGAATCATGCTGCGTTTCAAAGAGGAAATCCCATAGTTGCGCGGGACTCCTCAACCTGCCATTCTCATCCCTGCACTCCTGTTCCCATCGCTGCCTATGCTGGCGCTGCATCCGGAACCATGCCTTTGCCTCTAGCAGGTTCTCAATTGAAGCCATTTGGATTATGCCGAACTCCACCACCTGTGCTCCGTGCTACTGAATCCACTCGCCTATGGCATGCAAAACCTCTGAACATCATGGAACCGGTGGGTAGCCAGTCCTCCCTTCATGCAGCAGTGATATCTCGCGCGAAGTCAAGTTGTGCACTCGCCCCCTCCAGCACTTCTGGTTCAACAAACATTTCATCTTCGCCCTCCTGTGCCTCCATGTCGGCCCCCAGCTCCCTCTGCCTTAGCAGCTTGTGCTCATCTCGCCATATTCCCATGTCGAAGGGTTGGGCGAGCGAAAACAGTACTCCTTCCTCTTGCGTATTTACTTGCTATATTATGAACTTGACCTCCTAGCGAATGGCGATGCAGAGGGGTCGCATGAACTCCCAGCATGTAATCCTTGTGTTGGCGGTCTCCACAAACTTGGAGAGCATGGCCCGCCACCCACGGAGGGGAATGGAGCAGACGGTCATGCTGGCAGGAGTCAACCTAAGTGCTGGAGAGCTGCAGGGCGCACAGGCGGGCTGCAGGGTGGCATGGCATCCGCATGGCGCTCTACATCACATCCCCGGCTTTCTCATTGTATTCCTAAACTGCTAGCGGTGATTTAGAAAAAAATTTGCAGCGTTTTCCTTATATTTCGGGTACAGAGCTGCCTTCCCTTTCTTGTTTTTTTTTCACTTTACTCAACAATATATTCGTGTGGTCAGCCCGTTTTTGCTCTTTTCTTTGATGGACTTTAAATGCAAAGATGACTTGTGAAATGGGTCATTTTGCAGACACATCGAACAAGATACAATTGGAATGTATAAAAAGATGGAACACATTGATTCAATGATGTGAAAGAGACACAATGGAGAGCCAGCAATTATTTTTGAGACCCAGAACATTTACTCTAAAACAAAGGGCAATCACCGTTAAGCAATGGAGAGATGCATTCCGAGATAGGAGGCACGCAAAATTCTCACAATCATGGGCGTGGCAAAATAACACAACATTCTCGCGAAATACCTTCACACAACAGCAACTGCGTGAAATCTCGCCAATTTTCATTTGAGGAAATGACTAGAATACCACACAAGTTTGCAGATTGACTAGTTGGGTTCTTATTCTGGCCCCCTAGAACTGGGATTGAAGTTTCCGATATTCTGTGTTGATAGAATCATTGACCACCGACTTGCTTGCAAGCATGTTCACTAACAAGATTGGGCCCGAAGTTGACTCTTCAGGCACCGTAGAGCCGATTCATCTGGGACATGAATGCCCATTGCAGATCTCAATCCAGACAAAAAAGATGCAAGTTCAAAAATACCTAAATGTATCGAGAACCACGCACTTGTATAATTTTATGGACACCCGAATAGAGACATTGTATCAACACCCAAATATGGTTATGCTACCATATTTAGTCTGAATATATCCTAGGTTGAGTTTCTCAAACAATGTCAAGCAAAAATCACAAATTATCAGTATCAACAATGTCACAAGCTGCCATCATATTTTGCTCCAAACTTGCACACATTTTTCTTTGAGTTGTTGTCGACTGCACCCAAATTACAACATTCATATGAATATTGCATTAATATGCATATTGCACTATCGCCACTTTGACGCCCCTCTCCATGCCATGCAACTGACATTCTACAAACGGGAGGCAACCCCAATCCACCACACCTTGTCACTCTTGACGTGGCATCCCTTCAACAAACTCGTGGAATTTATTCGAACATGTAAACACCACATGTCCTTCATCCACACCATTGTCCTGGCATTCACCTTCACAAACCAACTCACATACTCCACCTACTTTCTTGCCCATTGGTGGCAGTTGTCAAGCCAGCCTGACATACGTCATGAATGAAATAGCCTTGTATGCCCCCACAGAAGTTGTGGACACGGGCTGCCCTATATGTGAGGAGTTTGAATTCCATGTGGCCCCGTGTGAACCCAACAAATAAAATCTTTGTTCTCACGGACGGTTCTGAATTAGAGCGTTTCAAGGACACATTTCTGTCTCCAAACTATTGGCTCAAGGATCCTCACTTTCTTCTCTTACAAACCCTGAAGTTTAGGCTTAAACCCCTCCATTAGGTGTTATGGCAAAGCGTGTGTCGTTTCCCAGAAACTTTTGTTCTGATGGCGGCCTGACACCAAACAGCAAGTCTTCATCCAATGGCATGGAGATAAGTCCTACGGTCATCCACATAGTGCAATAGATGTTGACTTCCATGATGTCTTTCATGATGAAAAATATATTTGGTCCTTTGAAAGTGGGAACACTTGAAGAACAAGCCATGCAATTTTAAAATGCTCTACTGCGGGCACATGTTCTGCCCTATTATCTTGTGTGTACATCGGTGTCTGAGAATGCCAGGGAGCATTACGCACT